GGTCACACCAGCAGTCTCCCTGCTCGCTCAGGTCCGGGAACGCGAGCCCAAGGCTGGGGGTGCACACGAACGCCGGGAATGGCGAAGCCGAGGACAAGGAGGGGAAGCCTTTCAGGACGAGGTTCCCGGAACACTCGCGGACGGGGATGGCCCGTAACCTTGCTGGAATTTGGAAAGGGCGCCAGGGACAGCACGTACGGGCCGGGCGCAGAGCCCCGCCCCCTCGAGCTGCGCGCGGCACGCTGTGCGCTCGGCCCTCGAGCGCTCCCAGCGGGGCTGAGCGCAGCGAGGGGGCCGGGGCGGGGCGTGTGCAGCCGGGGCGGGGCCGGGGGCAGGGCTGTGCAGTCGGGCCGGGGCTGGAGCGGGGTGTGTGCAGCCGGCCTTCCTGGCCGTTCTGAAGTGACCCGGCGCACGGTCCTGCAGTCTGAGGAGCGCTTCACCTCTCGGTTTAGGTTCTAGGCTCACTTATGTTCGAAATGCACCCGAACTGCTCCTGTGCCGCTGGTAAAGGAAGTCATGCTTCTGCTCCTTACGATCCCCGTTTCGCGGCCGTAGGAGGGGAGATGGCTTCGCGAGTTCCGGCTGAGCCGACTCCCCTAGGTGGTAGTTCTAGTGCTTTTCCTCTTGCCTCCGCCCTCCCGGTGCCTCCCAGGTCAGAGTTGAGGGTGTTCAGGCCCATAACCAGCCCCCCGCCCCGGTCCATGTCAGCTAGGTGGTTGGGGGCCGCCAGGCTGAGCCCTCAGCCCCGGTGCTGTGTCCAGCGTTGCAGGGGACCGTGCCCCTTCGGGATTAAAGACATGCAGCCCTCCGTGGCCTTTGGTGGGAGGCAGAGTGGAGTGAGTGCCTTCTGCCCTGGCTGCAGCATTGGCCGGGGCAGGGAGGGCACTGACCCGCCGCACGGTCCCCTGTGCCACGCCCCTTGCTCAATGTCTTCTCCTCAGAGCACAGGTGACTCCTGCCCCTGTACCTGCGCATGCAATGACGGCAGATTCACTTCCTGCAGGAAGAGTGACTGTGGGGCCTTCCCTGGGGAGCGGCCGACTAGCCAAGGGGCAGGGAAAAGCCATCCCAGGGCCAGAGCAGGAGTGCTGCAGCTGACAGCCTGTGCACATCCCCTACCCCACCCCGACCTGATTAAGCACAAGAGCAGCAGGAGCTTTCGAGATGCTTGGTTGCCAACCTCATTTCCAGGATGGGGAAACTGAGGCCCAGTGAATGCTCCAGCCAGTCAAGCTGATACTTGAGAAATGTCCACACTTGATGTATGGTGCCAGAGCCTCCCTATGTGGCCACCAGGCCCTGTCGCTGCCTCTCTGGTCTTTTTGCCCTGACCTTGGCTCAGGCAGGGCTGGACAGCTTTTTCATAGGAAAACCCCCACCCCAAAGACCCACCAGCTGTCTCCTGGCACAGCCTGCCAACCAGAAGTCAGGGTCCCCAGCGCTGGGTGCAGCCTCTACCAGGCCTGCTCTTGGGGCAGGGAGGTGCCAGTGCAGTCAGTTCTGATCTCTCCCTCTCCTCTTTTCCCCCAGAGTGCTGCTGCTGCCCCTCTGGCTATGCCAAGTGTGCCCAGGGCTGCATCTGCTAAGGACATCAGAAACATGTAGCTGCTGTGCCTGATGGCCCCAGATCAGGGTGTGGGGCACAAACCTGTTGGTTTGTTTTATTTTTTTAAGATCATACAATCCTGACCCTTTTTACATACTCCTTTTTCCCTGCCATGTAACATGAAAATAAAAGTTGTGAATTTTATTCTGCCTCTGATTTCTTTTGTATGCCTTAGACATAAGGGTCTGCCAGGAAGGAGCAAAGCCAGAAGCCACAGGCGCCTGGTAATTAACAGCAGCAGGTAGCTTCTCGGCTTACATAGTCAAGGAATTGATATTTGATGTTAAAGAAGATGGTGTCTCAGGCCAAGGAGTCAGAGCCACTTTGGCCTGCAGGTGCCCTGTGTAAAGAGAGGGTTTCAGAAGGCAGGCAGTGCCAAGTGCATGGCTATGGCAGGCACACAGCCCTGGCTCACGGCACAGTTCACCACTTCACGCTGTGTGATGAAGACGGCTTACTCACCCTCTCTGAGCTTCTGGTTCCTCATTTGTAGAACAGAGATTATGTCTCTAGGTCGTGGGTAAATGTGGCAGTGGCCCAGCTCCTGGCTAAGGCTGAATAAGCAGTGGTGGTTGTGGCTTTGGGTCCACATGGACTTTTTCATGGCAGAGTTCTGTTAGCTCCCATCAAGCCCCTTGGAAAGGCCCCTCTGTGGGAAACACTGCTACGGATTGGAAGCTGGGGAGGGGATTAGGACTCTGCTGATCTGGTTCTAAGAGCCTGTGGGTGATCTCATGACCAAACCCTGTAACACAAGACGCTGCCCCAGCATTTGGACTGACAATACGCCTTCCCCACAACTTCCTGACACTTGATCTTCACAGGAAACAGTGAGACAATGAATGTGCATGGGGCGGTGAGATGATGCCATCTTCCAGAGGAGTTAAGCAACCAGCCTGTGACACACAGCTTGGAAGTGAAAGTGTGAATGAACTTATGCTACAACTGTCCTCCTGTGCTGACCTCAGCTGTAGATCCTGATGTCACTGGATGCCCAGGCCCGCCTCTCCCAGTTCAGAGCCAGAAGGGCCCTTGGTTCATTAGTCCTGCTGTGTCCCTGACTTGAGAGATGGCACACAGAAGCCCAACGAGGTCACAGAGCTCTGCGGAGATACCTGCCTGCTGGCTCAGTGGTCTTCTTCCTGTTGCCCCTGTGCCAGAGTTCAAGGTCAAGGACTTTCCCATGACAGGGTGATGTGGGGTGAAGGGTGAGGGCGTGGAGCTGCAGTCACTAATCTTAGCAGTGTCATGCCTGGCTCCATGTCCTCCCACAAAAGGGGTATCATAATAGAGTCTGCTTAAGGACTACGAGTGTTGATACATGTAACGAACTGAGACTGGCTCCTGTCAAGTGATAAGGCATCTATTATATATCTTTTAAAGATTTATTTATTTATTGTTTGAAAAGCAGAGTTACAGAAAGAGACACACAGAGAGATCTTCCATCCACTGGTCACTCCCCAAATGGCCGGAATGGCAGAGCCTGCGCGAGGCCAAAGCCGGGAGGCAGGGACTCCATCCTTATCTCCCACGAGGGTGGCAGGGACTCAAGCACCCGAGACACCCTCTGCCGCCTTCCCGGCTACACTAGCAGGGAGCTGGATCGGAAGTGGAGCAGCCGGGCCTCAAATCGGTGCTCATATGGAATGCTGGCATTGTCGCTGGCATTGTTCCAAGAGATCTATTATATTTTGATATTATTTTATTGTCTTTCTTCATAGCATAGGAGATGTTTTTATTTCAGAGAAATAAGGCAGATCTGGTGTTTTCACTGAGTGTCTGATGTCCTTGTTGTCAACCAGGTGACAGGAGCCTCTACAGAGGGATCCAGGTTGCATGATAAAGGGATGAGCAAGACAGTTCATGTTCTGACAGATCCTGGGGGTGCCGGCCACTTCTGTTATAAAACGCGCCGTTAGCACAGGCATTTGGTTAAGATGCCCCAGGATGCCTGCGTCCCATATCAGAGTACCTGGGCGCAAGTCTCAGCTCCACTTCTGATTCCAGCTTCCTGCTATCCATGTGGGAAAGTCACATAGAGTTCAAGGCTTCTGGCTTCTGGCTTCTGCCTGGCCCAGCCCTGCGTGTTGTGGGCATTTGGGGAGTGAACTAGTGGACAGAAGGTCTCTTTCTGTCTATCTCTGTCTCCGTCTCCATCTCCATCTCTGTCTCTCTGTGTCTCTCTGCCTTTGAAATAGAAAAATAACTAAAAATAAAGAAAGCAAGCCTGGTGGTCAATTTAAAAAATGCACTATTATTTAATTTTTTTTGTAAAGATTCCTATTTCTATCCCTTCTGTGTCACTCTTGTTGCTCCTGATAGGCCTCCAGGATTGCTCCTGTTTTTAAAGGTTCCAGTGGTAGGGAGGTGGTGCAGACAGAGGGAGGTGAGAGACCTTCTCCTAGCCTGTGAAACGGACCGGATTCAGGGGCAGCAGGGCTGCTTTCTAGCTCTGTGCCTGGACTAGCTGCTCAAAGTCCTGCTGTAGATGTCCAGTTTCTAAGAATTTCTACCTAGTATGTCCCTTTGGGGTTGTGAAGGTTCAAAGATGGAAAGTGATAAAACAGGGGGTGGCGTAGATTAATGCCATGTAATGGAAATAGTTTATCATTTATTTATTTGAAAGGGAGAAGATGAGAGAGGGAGGGAGGGAGGGAGGGAGGGAGGGAGGAAGAGAGAGAGAGAGAGAGAGAGAGAGAGAGAGAGAGAGAGAGAGAATCGTATATTCTGCTGATTCACTACTCAAATGGCAGCAACCTGGTCTCCAAAGCCAGGAGCCAAACTCCGTCTGGGTCTCCCACGTGGGTGGCAGGGGCCCAAGCATCTTCTGCTGCTCTCCTGTGCGCATTCGCAAGGAGCTGGGCGGGAAGAAAAGAAGCCAGGACACCGACCTCGATCCCCGGAATACCGGAGTCACAAGCGGCGCTTAAGCCGCGGGCGCCCGCCCTCCGGTAACGGGCATGCTAAAAGAAAAACAACCACTCTTTTTGTCCAGTGTTAGATCTGCACAGCTACAAGATCGCCCTCTTGGGAGCCTCCCTTGGAACCTTTCCATTACAGACGGCGGGCGCCCTAGGCTAAGGGAGGAGCGAGGACGCTTAAGTAAAAGAACTGGGGCAAATGTGCCCGCACACCCCTGAGTCCACCATGTCGCTGTGCACAAGAGAAACGTGGCCCAGAACCTACGTGGGGACAGGGAGAGCCACAGGGCAGGCGAAGGTCACACCCACCGCCAGCCCTCTGCACACAACACCCTCGCTGTGCTTGCTCCCAGCTCGCGCCGATCACGGGACGTGAGCGCGAGGCTGGGACTGCACACGAGTTTCGGGAACCGCGAGGCTGGGAACACTCAGCAGGGCTGGGGGAGAGGGCAGGAGTACGGCATGGACTGGATTCCCGGAGCGCCCTCGGAGCACAACAGCGGGGAAGGGCGGCGGGAAACACTGGGCGTTGGGCCCGGCACGCAGTCTCACCCACGCCAGCCTGCCTCCAAGGGACCGCCCCCGCGGTGCGCGCAGAGCTGCGCTCCGGGAATCCTGCACCCGGCCCGGAGTGCGCACAGCCGGGTCCAGGGCGGCGGGCCGTGCGCCCGGGCCGGGGCGGGTGCAAGGGCCGGGGCGGGGCCTTTGCGCCCGGGCCCTCTCTTCCGACTATAAAGTGAGCTGGGGATGGCTCCTAGGTACCAACGCGCCTCTCAACCGCCCAGCTAACTCTTCACCTTTCACTTCGCGTCTCCAGCTTCACCAGAGCTCGAAATGGACCCCAACTGCTCCTGCGCCACCCGTAAGTGATGCAGGGTTTCCAGGCTTAGGGTCTCCTTTTCTCAGCCAGAGAAAAGGTTTCTGGGGCGGGAAGAGGGCTCACTGGGAGTGCTGGCCGAAGTGGACTCCTTTACTTTGCAATTCTGGTGCTTTCTGCCGGTCAAATGCCTTCAGCATCTTTTAGAACTTTCCCATCATTCCAGTGCCTCCCGTTTCAAGAGCGGGAGGATGTAAGGTGGAAACTCCCCGGCTCAGGAGGTCGAGGACTGCTGACCAGCACCTTGTGCCCTAAGCAATACTTGTGCTGCCCGGGCTAGGAGGTGACAGGGACATCGCCTATCAGGACTGTCAACAGAAGGCTCTGGGGGGGGGGGTGTAAAATCAGAAGGGTAACATGCCCCTCCCAGCCTATGGGGAGACAAGCTATGGGGACACAGAGCTACCCAGCTGCGGTGTCCTGAGCAGGGAGCCGGCTGACCGACTGCTGGTTCTTCTGCATCACACCCATTGCTCACTGCCTGTCGTCCTCCTCCCTCCAGGTGACTCCTGCGCCTGTGCCAGCTCCTGCAAATGCAAAGAATGCAAATGCACCTCCTGCAAGAAGAGTGAGTGTGGGGCTTTCCCTGGGCGTCTTGGGGGTCAGCAGAGGCGGGGATGGACTGCAGAGCAGGCAGGAGCAGGGCAGTGCGCAGCTTGCCTACATCCCGGCACCTGATTCAGGATCAGTCATAGAGTATAGAGATGGTTGATTCCCAGCCTCTGTTAGCATGTAGAAACTGAGGGCCAGAGACTGCAACAGCCAGTCAAGACAGACCTAGTACTTGGGGCATTCCTCCCTGACGTTCTGCAAGACTGGTCTACCTCCATCCTTAGCCCCAGTCTTTCTGCCCTGCCCCGGGCTCAGGTAGGGCCAGGCAATTCTCTGATGGGAAAACCCTCCACTGCTTGTCTTATGCCATTGCTTGTGAACCTGAACAAAGAATCCTGCAGAGCTGGGGGCCCGAGCCTGTGCCAGACCCGCTGTGGGGGCGGGGAGGGGCCAGTCAAGTCAGCTCTGACCTCTTCCCTCTCTCTCTCCTCTCCCCAGGCTGCTGCTCCTGCTGCCCTGCGGGCTGCACCAAGTGTGCCCAGGGCTGCATCTGCAAAGGGGCATCAGACAAGTGCAGCTGCTGCGCCTGACGCCCGCAGAGCCCAGCTCCCAGATGTAAATAGCGCAATGTGTACAAACCTGGATTTTCTCCCCCATGCAGTCCGACCCCTTTGCTCCATTCCTTGTGTGAAATGTGTGAATGATAATAAAAGTTGTTGACTTCATGCTGACTCTGTTTTTTTCTGTGTGGTTTGGGAATAAGAGACTGGGTTGGAGAACTGACCTGGCTGTGCGGAGCCCTGGGCTCTGGAAGGAAGTGTTGGCCCCTTCAGGCAGCCCAGGGCTCCTCTCTGAGCTCCCAGCGCCTTAGGGTGTGTCAGGGGCAGATGGCGCCTCCCTGTTCGGGTCAAGGGTTAGCGCCACAGAAACTCCTCCATCCCTCATTTTTATTCTCTGACTACCCTACCCATTTCAATTCCAATTTTAGGCTTGAAAGAGAGATGGGGTGGAATCCAACTCTCCACTTGCTGAATCCCACCTGGGCTTTTGGAATGCTGGGGTAATGGAGCCATTTTTATTTCCTGTCCATTGCAAGCCCAAGTCTTGGTAAATAACATGACACTAATTATGAACACAATGAAATCAGGGAAAACAGCGGGGTTGTTTGATTCAACAGGAAAATTGTAAAACTATGTGGAGAAAGAACAGGCGAATTGCTGCTGCCTACCGATGAAGCACATGGCACACTGGAAAGAGTTCAAAGCCCAGCCTCAGTGTGTGGACCTCGCACCCTGGGCAGCACCGGCCCAGACCACCCCACCAGTTGCCACTGGCTGGCTGTTGCTGACCCTGGATGGCTCCCTGCTGTGCTGTGGGTCTGCAGCTGGGAGTTCCTCCCTGAGTCGGGCTGGATCTGCCTCTCTTGCAAATGCCAGCCCTTGGCTACTTCAACCTAGCAAAGTGGCGCGGTGTTTGGAGGAACTTGCCTGGCTGTCCTGGCAACATGGAGAGAACCTTGGCACCACATGCAGGACTCCCTTTGAGCCCATGCCAGAGGGATGGTGGATTCTGCAGTTGGAAGGGCGTGGTGTTCATTAGAAGTGAGGCCCTGGTGCCTTCTAATTAGAGCTAACAGTTAGTGCCCCTGGCTGTTTGTTAGGGCTTGCTATTTGATGTGTAGTCAAGGAGAAGATGAGTCTCCTGGCCTGAAGTCAGGAGCTCCCTGTGTGAGGGAGGGCAGCCTGCACCGAGTGCATGGGTTGATGTCAGGCAGCCCTGGGACATGGCCCAGTTCACCACTTACTGGCTGTGTGGCCTGGGCAAGTCACTTGACCTCTCTGAATGTCCTTTCCTCATTTGTAAAAAGAGAACTATTTATAGGGATTAAATGTGATAGTGGCCCGGCTCCTGGCTGGGGCTTGATAAACAGTGGCAATGATGATCATCCTGCTCACACCGATTTTCTTGGAGAGTGAATCCTGTTAAATCCCACAGGTTCCTGGGAGAAGGCAGTTAGGTGTGGAAGCATTGCTGTGGGTTGGATGCTGCGATTGCCATGGCAACCCAGCTGACCCAGTACCAGGAGTGTGTGCGCCTCCTGCAGAGCCCTCTGAGATAAGACGCTGCCCGGCGTTTGTGCAGACGTGAAGTCTTTCCTACCTTTCAGATCACTTGATCTTCTCACAATATAGTGGACGAGAGTGACAAACCTCAGGACCGTGGCACCGGCGATGATGCATGGGGCTGCAGTGATGGTACCGCCTACCACGGTAGCTGAGCCACCTGCCCAGTGTCCCACAGAGCGAGAGAGTTCTGAATGGGCTTCTACTACGGCTGGCCTCTCACCCTGACCACAGTGAGCGGAGGATGATGTTAGGGGTGCTACACCCTGCCTATTTCTGTTCAGAGCTGGAAGGGTCCTCTGGGAGGGACCGACTGTGCTGTTACCTGGAGACAAGGGAAACGGAGGCCCTGGAGGCCACAGAGCTAAGCAGAGGGAGCCGAGTGCCGACTCCGGGTCCTTCTCAGTGCTGCCGCTGTGCCAGCTTTCAGTGACCTTGTCTCATAGGTGACATGGAGGCAGGAGCAGTGGGCGAGGGCACGATGGTGTTGACAGCTAGCCTGTGCCACCTACAGCAGTGTGACAGAACCTCTGTGCGGCTCATCCTCGTCACCTGTGAAAGGGGCATGATCCTGGCACCTGCCTGACAGCATCTGATGACCTGCTGCAGGGAAGGCGCTGGGAACGTGGTGTGGTCCGTGGAGAGAGCCGTCTGGTAGTAGCTGCTGCTTTCCCATCCTTCTGCACTGCCTGGGGACGAAGCAGCCAGGCCTGCTGTGCTCGCCTGGGTCTCCTGCGTCCTTCTCACCTACCCCGTGACCATGTCACCCGGGGCCGGGGCAGACACTCACTCTGCAGCCTCCTCCAGGGTCCGAGGGGCAGAATATCAGGGCCTGGCTTGTGGGAGCGAGCAAGTCCATGGAAGGCAGCTCCAGTGGTGTCTGGCAAGCAGTGCGAGGTCTAAAATAACAGCTATTATTTTATTCTCTTTTTCATAGCACAGAGGCCACTTTTTTTAAATAAGACAATTTAATGCTAATTACTAATATTTTCAAAACAGTAGCATTATGAAAAATCTTATTTCAATCACATGTAGCAAACATCAATGAACAAGAAACGAAAGTGACACTTGCTGGAGAATATTCCAACGTTTCTCAGTGGGTTCACTTCACACTCCTGCTGCGCTTGGTCCAATTGTTCAGCGCCTTAAAACAGACACTTCAGCAACTAGAAATGTTAGTTCTGTTTGGCTTTTTTTCCCCTAGTAGGAGAAAGCAGTCTTTGAAACATGAACTAAAATAGTCTAGAAGTCTTGCAAGGGTCCAGGTCAGCACAGTGGCTAACTGCCATCCCTCTTCTCATCTAAGTACTTTATTTCATTACTCTTGAAGAATTTATTTTCTTGATATCACTTGGGCTCAAAATCAATGTTCCACTTTTGAATTTTCCAATTTGTCCAGTCCGTAGAGGCCACTTTTCTACCTCTAGATGTATAAGCCAGGCCTGACGGGTCTCCCTGAGTATCTTACGCTGGCCATATCAACCACATGAGTATGTGACCTGTGACCCAGGCAGGTCCTCCACTCTTCCACAAAAAATGTGGGTTGGGGCAGACATTTGGCTTCGTGGTTAGGACGCCTGCATCTCACACCAGAGTGCGTGGATTTGATTCCCAGCTCCAGAAGGCACCAAGGCAGTGGTGATGGGTCTAGTACTTGAGTTCCTGCCACCACTGTAGGGGGACCTGGACTGAGTTCCTGGTTCCCAGCCCCAGTCTGCTGGCCGGTGCAGGCAAGTAGGAAATGAATGAGAGCAGATATAAGTGCTTTCTGTCTCTTTAAATAAAAGGGGATGGGGGATCCACATGGAGGATATCAGCCCTTCAGTCATGAACAAGAGCCTGTGTTCTCGTCACTGATACAATAGAATGAATTCCATTTCTGCTACCACCTGCACCGTTATTTCACTTACTATTTTCCTTTGAAGCCATTATATTACTTTTTTTTTTTTTTGACAGGCAGAGTGGAGAGTGAGAGAGAGAGAGACAGAGAGAAAGGTCTTCCTTTTGCCGTTGGTTCACCCTCCAATGGCCACTGCGGCTGGCGCCGCACTGATCCGAAGCTAGGAGCCAGGTGCTTCTCCTGGTCTCCCATGCGGGTGCAGGGCCCAAGGACCTGGGCCATCCTCCACTGCACTCCCAAGCCACAGCAGAGAGCTGGCATGGAAGAGGGGCAACCGGGATAGAATCTGGCGCCCCGACCTGGACTAGAACCCGGTGTGCCGGCGCTGCAAGGCTGAGGATTAGCCTAGTGAGCCACAGCGCCGGCCAGTTATATTACTTTATGCATGTTTATATGAAAAGCAACTCAACCAGTACTGAAAGTGAGAATCCATTCCCCTTCCACATATGCAGTTACTTCAAAACACTCGTGGAAAATGGAATTAAAAGATCTGTTTAAAGGTGAGCATTTGTTACTGCTGTTAGGATGCCTGCATCCCATATCAAAGTGCCAGGGTTCAAGTCCCAGCTCTGCTTCTGGTCCCAGGCTACTGTGCACCCTGGGAAGCAGAGGTGAGTCAAATACTTGGGTCCCTACCACCCACGTGGGACACCTGGCTATGGCTTCAGCCCCAGTGGTGGTGTGCATTTGGGGAATAAACTAGTGGATGGAACATCTCCAGTTTCTCTCTGCCTGGTCCTGTGATATAAACAAAGATTTTTAAAGATACCTTTGCTTTGGTGCAAAATCTTTTTTTAAATCTTTGCATAGTTATTTTCATAGCACACATGTTCCAAAAACTTTCAGAAAACCTCTCATATGCAATGTTTTCAAAATTTTTTGAACCAAAATCAACCGGTCTCTTAATTTCCATTTTCCTTTGAACTTTTTTGGCATACCCTGTAGCCATACAATTTATGTGTGTGTGTATCTCCCTTCCGTATCTCTTTTGTTTGCTGCCCCCGAAATTGATCTTGTTTTTGCTTTCAAGATTTCAATCAGTAGAGAGGTTTTGAAGATATACCTAGGCCAAAGGGAAGCTTTCTCATGGACCGCTTGCCCTTGGAAAGCTGATCAGATACAGCACTTCCTAGCCCTATGTCAACCGGATAGTTACTCATATGACTCAGGTTGTAGGTGTGCGCTTAGTAAAACGGGCTCATAAAAAGCACTGCTGGGAGGGCTGGCATTGTGGCGCAGAGGGTTAACGCCCTGGTCTGAAGTGCTGGCGTCCCATATGGGCGCTGGTTCAAAACCTGTCTGCTCCACTTCCAATTCAGCTCTCTGCTATGGCCTGGGAAAACAGCAGGAGATGGCTCAAGTCCTTGGGCCCCTGCACCTGTGTGGGGGAAACAGAGGAAGCTCCTGGCTTTGGATTAGCACAGCTCAGGCTGTTGGGGCCAATTGGAGAATGAGCCATTGGATGAAGGATCTCTCTCTCTCTCTCTCTCTGCCTCTCCTCTCTCTCTCTTCCTCTCCTCTCTCTCTCTTCCTCTCCTCTCTCTCTCTCTCTGTAACTCTGACTTTCAAATAAATAAATAATTTTTTTAAAAGCACTGCTGGGAAGATTCGCAGAAAAGGATGATAGGGGCTGGCGCTGTGGTGAGGCAGGTTAAAGCCCTGGCCTGCAGTGCCAGCATCCCATATGGGCGCCGGTTCAAGT